GCAAATTAGAAAATTAGCTTTCAGAAGACCTGAACGCAATTTGTTTTAAAAGAGCGTTAAATAGTTGTCAAAAATAGCGTAAATGGGCTGTCGCGGCTGAAATTTGGATTGCATGCTCGCTTTGGATGCGAGAATAATTACGTAACAATGAACGGGATTTACAAGAAACTGAAGTAACAATCCATCGCAATTCGTGCGTTCTTAAGTAATAAATATGATAGTCCACAGTACTACCGATTGCGTTTCCTAACATAGTCAGCCAATCAGTGGATCGTTATTGGGCTCTAAGAAATTTCTATCTAAAGAGTTTTGGCTTGATCAATTAATATCACAAGATGGGTATACTTTGTTGTCTGAACTACAACATAGAAAGAACAGGAGAGATGTATACATCGGAGACCAACATAGAACGAGACTGAGAGAGAGAGAGAGAGAGAGAGAGAGAGGAGGGGAGGGAGAAGGGGGGGGGGGAGGGGAGGGACGGCGACGGAAGGGCTTGGCACGGGTCTTGGTTCTCACGCTCGCACGCACCTCACCTGATGTAACGACGGGTACACTACTCGTTACCTGCTCGTCTCCCCACCCCCGTCCCCACCCCCACACCTTTCCAGGAATCAACCAGGACCGCCTCCCGAAATCAACAATAACCAGTAAACTCTCGGATATAATGCCACACGCTCTTTAACACGAGTGCACATACAGATAGTTATAGTAATAGTAGTAGTAATAATAATAATAATAATAATAATAATAATAATAATAATAATAATAATAATAATAATAATAATAATAATAAATGGGAATCGAACTCGGGCTTTCTGCGTGCAACGGCGAAGCGCCTAACTGCCACCTCACAGAAGCTTGTTCTTCCCATGCGAAGGTCGACAGTTTGCAGCATAGTTAAAAATTGATTTAGTTTTCGTAAGTTTTACGGCACTTGCAATAGAATTAGGCCATGTACAACTAAGTACGATAAGAGTAGGCTTCGGCCGCCACCCGGGCAAATTTCAAAATTTCCTACCAACTGAAAATGTCTAATATGACCGTATGCAGTTGCGAGCGCTGTAAAACACCAAAAAAAAACCCAAGATAATAATTAAGATGGTACAAAATTACAGCAGAAAAATCATCAGAACTACTCCCGGTAATTAAAAATAAAACTCCTATCAACGCGTTTCCCACCCTCACCATAGCCTAGTCCAGTCGCTGTTGGTCTCCGTTCGCGCTTCACTCACATGTTTTTTTTCTTCAACAAGGAAAATGAGCCCTGAGAATTGACAGATTCCATTCCTCGCAGGCATTTTTCTAGTTATTGAAACCATTCTACACGCCAGTGAAAACGCACACACGTGTATGCGTGTGTGTGTGTGTGTGTGTGTGTGTGTGTGTGTGTGTGTGTGTGTGTGTGTGTGTGTGTGTGTGTGTGTGTGTGTGTACCAGCGTGCGTATGCGCCTCTCCACCCCTTCTCTCTCTATATATCTATCCCCCACACACACAAACATATGACAGATAGATAGATATAGATCAGATAGATAGAGAGAGCGAGAGAGAGAGAGCGAGAGAGAGAGAGAGAGAGAGAGAGAGAGAGAGAGAGAGAGAGAGAGAGAGAGAGAGAGAGAGAGAGAGAGAGAGAGAGAGAGAGAGACTGTCACGAGGGAGGAGTGGGAGAAGGTTTACAGTTAACAGCTCGCTCAGTCGGAAACACCTTGCTGTCTGTTTCGGCATACCTACAGACTCCCCCCGCCCCAAATCCGCACCTTTCTGTTTTCGGTAAGCAAAGGAGAGAGAGAGGGGCATTCCGCAGTATTATTTTCTCCCATGGTAAAACCCACGAGGCTCCTGGTGACCTCTCAGCCTGGCCAACAAAGGTGTCGTACACCTAATTGATACTGGCTTTTGAACTGCAAAATATTATACACACCTTTATACTAACCATATAATATACGTCCCATTATGACTGCGACCTTCTCGTCACCTTTTTGTTTTTCCTTCTTTAACGTAGGTGTTTTTACGCCCCCATCAACATGGTTGATTTAGAAGCTGCCAGGACCAACCCGGGGTTGGGAAGGATGCAACGTCCCAGCAGTAAGACCAAACAGATGTTCGATAAAAACCCTCCCCACACAAGAATCAAACTGCGATGGCATTCTTTTCAGACCGAATGCAAAAGAAATCTTGTCGAGGAAAACGAGAGCGGCATTCCGCAGTATTATTGTCTCTCATGGTAGGCTCCCGGTGACCTCTCACTCTGGCCAACAAAAGTGTGGTACACCTAATTGATACTGGCTTTTGAACTGCAAAATATTATACACACCTAGCTCCAAACTAACCAATATACGCCCCACTATGACTGCGACCTTCCCGTCACCTTTTTGTTTTTCCTTCTTTAACGTAGGTCTTTTTTACGCCCCCATCAACACAGTTATTATCATTTAGGAGCTGCCAGGACCAACCCCCGGGGTGGAGATGGAAGCAACGTCCCAGCAGTAAGACCAAATAGATGCTCGATAAAAACCCTCCCCACACAAGAACCAAACTGCGATGGCATTCTTTTCAGACCGAATGCAAAAGAAATCTTGTCCAGGAAAACGAGAGCGGCATTCCGCAGTATTATTGTCTCTCATGGTAGGCTCCCGGTGACCTCTCACTCTGGCCAACAAAAGTGTGGTACACCTAATTGATACTGGCTTTTAAACTGCAAAATATTATACACACCTAGCTCCATACTAACCAATATACGCCCCACTATGACTGCGACCTTCCCGTCACCTTTTTGTGTTTCCTTCTTTAACGTAGGTCTTTTTTACGCCCCCATCAACACAGCTATTATCATTTAGGAGCTGCCAGGACCAACCCCCGGGGTGGAGATGGAAGCAACGTCCCAGCAGTAAGACCAAATAGATGCTCGATAAAAAC